GACTGAACTAAAGTATGACAGCTAGGGATGGAGAAGAGGGGATGAAAATCCAGAGATCCTTCTCAGGTAGATGCCACAGACTTGGCCATTCTCTGAGTTGGTCAGATTATGGCATTACTGCAGGGCAAGAAGAAGTGAGGGTAGTGAAGGAAAAGGAAGGAGTTGAGTGACAGATGGCTAACTTGGGTGACTGGGGAACAGGGCCACCATTGTGCAAGATAAGTACTCATGGGAGAAAAAGAACAGGTTTTTCAGGAGTGGGTGTGTGGGAGCAGGAAGAGGATCTGAGAAGATATTGGGTCAGACTAGAGATACCTATGGAATATATCTAGTTGGAAAGGCTGGAAATGTCCAGGTGAGACCTGAATCCTGGTTTGAAGCTCAGGAGAAAGGTAAGGGCTAGAGATTGTTATTATGGGATTGTTATTACGTGGATGCTATTCTGAAGCCATGAAAGTGGAAGAAATTACTCAGTGAGAACAAAGTCAAGAACAGAACTCCAGAACAGCCCTAAATATATAAGACAGAAAGTGAAAACAGGTAGAAGGAGGTGAGAGTTACCAGTGTTAAAGAGGCCAAGGATGGAATTTCAAGAGAGAATGGTCAAACATACGTGTTTGTCTCACAAGCAGTAGACTACTCCAAGCCCATGGCTCTGGAAGAGGCCACAGGATCTAAGTAAGAGCGATGAGGTGCCTGGAGCTGTGGGGGTGACAGCATGCAGAGCAACCTTTGGTTCTCGGAGCTCCTTCACCTGAAACACCCTCTCTTCCCATCTGCCAGACTTTCTGCTCTCAGCCCAAGCCTTTTCTACCACAGAACTCTGCCCTTCTTCCTCAGATCCCACATAGCTCCTTTTGGCAAGTTTTTATTGCCCTTATCGTACCCACGGTGTGCTGTCATGATCAGTGAGCATTTCTTAGCTCTCTTGCCAGGTCAGAAGCTCTGGCAGGCCATATGCCCATTTACCTTGGTCTTCTGCACCGGCCCCCAGAGCAGTGGAGGCTCAGTGATGTGCAGAAATATGTCAGCATTTCAAAGGAGCACTGCTGGATGGATCACACTTTGCTAATGTGCACAGCACTCTACTCTGAACGAGTGGCAAGTACCCTTGTTTGTCCTGGGTAAATATTACCATTTCTCTACACAAAGGATTATTTTACACTAAGTGGCTCCAAAGAAAACTTAACAGACATGTAGAGTCAAAGTTCAGCTCTGTCTCTAGCCAAGAGCTTTCTAACACCCAGACTGGCTCCAGGTGCCAACCATATAGGCAGGGAGACACCCGCATCTGGGCAGCTGTCTAGAGTCAGTTACACTACATGAACCTTGCCATTTGTAAATTTTTTGAGACGATGCTCCTGTTCCTAAGGAAAGTTCTACCAGGTCTATCTGGTGGTTTTGAGAATTCTCCAAATTACAGTCAGGGAGAAGACCACTCTCTCTGGGAAGTGGCAAAGCCCCTAGTGTAATGCAGGGAACCTCATATATCCTTGTTCATACTCGAATCACACTTCTGCCACTGCTTTCTCCTCCCGCAGGAGAGAAATGTTTTAAATCCTTAGGAAGCAGCTACACCACTGAGATTATCCTTTAACTGCAAGGAGGCAACGTGTGAAAGTGATATTGTGTAATTTGGCAACTCACAGAGATGGAAGTCGGAAAGACTGTTCAGCACCACCAGCTGGTCCACTCCCCTTACTGAGATCAATGTGGGTGCCAGCCGTAACCTGACAGAAATGCTGAGGAGGAAAGCAGCCCTGGCATTTGCCCAGATGACCTGCTTGTTAGTGCACTGCTGAAAAATCAAATGCCTACCTTTAGCCCTCTACCTCATTACCCAAGAAGACTGAGAAACGTTTGGAAGCAGACAAGCTGGAATCTGTCCAAAGCAGGACCAGAATACCCAGAGGGTACAAAGCAGATGCACCCTCATTAACAGAGGGATTAGGGAGTGCCAGTGGAGGCTGTGAAATTGGCAATACTTGGCTTGCAGTTTCCTGCTTCCTCCTAGAGTTTGGTAAAACTGCTTCACTCTTGTGACAACTTCCCTTTCAAAGCTCTTACTTCACAGGGTTTTCTAATAATCCCAATTATAACTATATACTACATGCAAGGAAGAGGTAATAAAAGCCCAGGCCCACAGTGTGGGGTGGGGGTGGGAGTAGGGGGTCAATCGAGAACATGGGTAAAGAAGTCAACTTAAAGGCACATCAGGAGTTTCATGGGTATTACAAAAGTTCACAGAAAAAGGATTCCACGGTTGAATAACTTTGAGAAATGCCATGTCAACTAAAGTTGAGTAAATGTCTTTACTGTAGGATTTCTCAGAGCCATTAACAAACTAACAAGCCTTGTCAATCTTCAAGTAAAATGGAATAAGTAGTGATTCCTCAACTTATTTGACCACAGAACACAGAGCACCTTTCAGGACTGGTAATGCTCAGAACATATGCTGCTTTGAAATACTTAAAAAGCCCAATACAATCTGTATTATTCCAGCCCCACACACAGGGGCAAGGTAGGGGGATAGCTTAGCTAATACTAATTTATTACTTTCACCACTACCAGTACTCTCATTTCAAGAATGGTGACAGTAGTGATGATGTTACATTCTTTCTTTAGTTGGCCTAAATAACCTCAAAGCAGTTTAAGACCAATATCTGAGCTTCAAAAACCTTTAAAACAGCACTATCCTGGGAATGACACCCAAGTCTGGACCCCTTACTGCTGCAAATTAGATGGTGACTCTGGCATGTCTCATCCTCACTGGGTTCTTGGTTTCCTCATATCTAAACTGAAGGGGTTAGGACAGATTTCTGAGGATGTGCTCAGCTCTAATAGTCTACCATGGACTCTTAACACTAAGTAAATTTTCACAACCCATCATCGAGTGATAGAAAAAAGGACTTTGCTCTGAAGGCTGACTAAGTGTGATAGTTTCTGAGCCTATCGCCTCTCTCCTGAGCTCTGTGCCAACTCCCTGGGTAAATGAAGCCGGGCTCACACCCAGTCACCCTCCCAATGTTCCAGCCCTGGCAGTTAGGGAAGCAGGACAGTACCTTCACAAGGAGAGGGAGGGCTGCTCTCCGGGAGAAGGAGCCTGGGGGCCTCACTTCCAAAGCTCCTCCCCACACAACTGTGTGCCAAGAGGAAAAACCCAGCCCAGCATAAGAAGGAGAACAGCAGCCAGCCAGTTCTCTTCTTCCCAGACAGCATTCCCTACCAGATGTTGCTCTTCAAAGGACCACAGCTGCTTCCTGTCTTGCCATATCCTGACACTGCCTGATGGACAGACTGTCTTGCTTGAATGCAGAAGTTACTTCTACCACAGTTTGCCCAATCATTTCTGGGGCTGAAGATGTGGTTTAAGACTTTCAAGCTATTTACAGGGCAGAACTCAGGCCAACTATCTTGCCCACTGCTAGCACTGGGGACAAGCTCTCTGACTGCCTTTGTCAGATAGTAGCAGACATTTTATTTCTGATTCTGTCAGGGGGAAAAAAAGGCAAATGATTACGCAGCACACAACCAAAAGAGATCCTTATTAAAACTCAAATTCCAGTATAACACAGCAGTTTTATAATTAGAGCAAAACAGTTACCAAAAGGCACAGGCAGAAAAAAATGTAAACGTTCTTTCTTTACTCAACTAATAGAGATGACTGCATTACATAAGAGACACGGTCTTTGCACAGGTTCTGTCAAGAAGCATTAAGCTACAAGAGGGATGTTTGGAATTCTCTGATGTTACAAAGGACGACCTACCAAAATTTGCCTTGAGGGCTCCCATTAGCTAAGTCACCTTGACACCAAAAAATAAACAAAAATTTCACTTTCCTGATAGCATATAATAATTCTGTTCTAGTCTCCTTTGTCTTAGCTTTGACCCTTGAAGATATTCAAGGTGAAAAAGCTCATGCTGTGAGCTGCGGAAGGACTCCTCCAAGGACTTCCTCTCCATCTGCAGGAAACTTTGAAGCTGCCAAAGACCAAAGTACAAGCAGGATAAGTTAATATGCCTGGTGACATCCTGACAAAGCAGAAACCTCTTGGCTCATAAATCACAATCGGCACAAGCAAGCTTTCCTAGAACTGGTTTTGAGCAGACATGAAACAAGAGGCACAGGAGCTTTGACATTAACAGGAGTCCCAGCCCTTCATCATGGAAAAAGAATACCCTTGTGCTCTTAGCTCAAAGGCAGAAAGATCTTGCCTTTAAGTAGGAAGACTTTCTTCCTCGATCTCATTTGTTCAAAAAGTCAGGCCAGCTCATAGGTCAGTGGTCTCAAAACCCTGCCACCACACACAGGTCCATCAGATCAACATTCCTCGTGCTTCAAGACCCTTAGAGCCTCCTCACTTCTCCTCCCTCCCTAACGTGGGCCAAAAACAGTCCAAAATAGGCCCATGGCCAAAGTGTGGAATTCTTATCAAGACCATATTTCAGGTTGAGTTACCTTCTCACTCTCTCTCAGCCTTTCTTTCTTGGAAAATTTCAGGGGCTCTCCTATACCTTATACGCTAGTTTGGCTGTTGGCGGGGCGGAGCTGGGTTATTTTAGGATTTTCCACATTTCTCCATCCCACCAGAGACTTCCACCAAATTATGCTGCTGTCCCCCTCTCCTAACGTGACACAAGCCAAGACTCCGGGATGTGGTAGCCACACTTCCCCATCAAGTAAAGTCACTTTTCTCCCTGACGCTGAGGGGGTGTCTCCAGTCGGCTTCAGTCTCCTTCCCCAGCAAAGTCCGTCACAGGGACTACCATTGGGGAACTAAAGGGCCCCACCTCTTCCCATACTACAGCGCCCCGCCCCCTTCGCAGTGCCACCTGCTGCTAGTCCCGCCCCCCAAACGCTACGATAGGCCAGCCCTCAGAGTCCGCTCTCCCATTGGGCAGTCAACCCGTCCCTCCTACGCCACGTCTCCCGGCTCTGGCGAAAGAGGCCCGGGTGGTGGCTTTTGGCACTAGAGAGAGCTGTGAGTTAGGGTCTCTACCTGGAAGGGGTTCACGTCCACTGGGTCCGCGAAGGGGTTGGTGTCGAAGGCCGACATGGCAGTCGGGGGTCAACGGATGAGCTCCGCGATCGCTTCTGCCTCCGGGCACCCAGACCCAGCGGCGCTCTTCGGGTAGACCCTCCGCTTCCGGGAGCTAGGCAGCCGTTCTGGCGCAGGCGCAGCGCCCTCCCCAAGGGGCAGGGTCCGGTACGTCACAGAGGTCCGCTCCGCCCTCCTGCCCAGCCCACTACGAAGCCGCGGGGGTGCTCTCCCCTTCCTTACCTGTGTGTGTGCTTCGTGGGTCCCGGCGGCGCCGAGGGACGGAGAAGCCAGCGTCCAAAAAAACTCCCCGAAGCAAACTTCCCAAGTAAACTCCCCAAAGTGGAGCCGGAAATGTAACCCCTTCACTTCCCTGGAAGGCAAGTTTGGGAAGCTCGCAGTGGTGCAGGCCAGGGATAGGAGTGTGAGCCTCCTTGTACGCGGGAGGGTTCTGGTGGTAAGGGACGAACAGAGAGGTTCTTTTCTGAAGAACTGACCATGCATCTGTCCCCTACACTAGCTGAGACCTGTTACTTTTTTTAGGCCTTGCTCCCTGATGCCCATACAGGTTTAGGGCCAAAACTAGGATTTGAACCTGAGCATCAAGTATTTGTTAAGTGAATAGAGCCATGGGGGAGATGGCTGCACTCCCCGCGAACTTTATTTATTCACATCTCTCTGGCTTTGTTCGTCTCTGCTGCCAGTGGATCTAGCTTCTGAAATTCTTTACCTTGTATTAGTACAGGGCTGCTTAATTGGTTCATGTTGTAACCAGAGATCTATTTAAAGGGGACAAAATTGTTATGGAACCTTCTGTTTAAAATCCTTCAATTATTTTCATTAAGGCCCAAATTCTTAGTTTGGCCTCTAGGTCCTGCAGTATCTGCCCCACCTATCTATCCTTCCCAACCCTTTATTGTGTCCACCTCCACGCTTTCCAGCTCTTGCTTTTCAGTTCTTCAAACTTCCCCTGTTGCTTCCTGCCTCAGGACCTTTGCACCAGGTACTCCTTCTTCCTGGTATGCTCCTAGTCCGTGGTGTCATCATTGCCTAATTAACTCTTACTTACCCTTCAAATTTAAGCTCAAATGCCCCTTCCTCAGGAGTGGCCTCTCTTCACTCTGTAGGTTAGATCAGCCCTCTACCCCACAACATAAACTCATTATTGCCCTGTGCTTTTTCTTTATAATACCTATTGCAGATTGTATGTATACACTTGTATAGGTGGTTATTCATTTATGTCTGCCTCTCTCACTAGACTCTAAGCTCCACAAGTGCAGGAGTAGGGTCTGTTTTGCTCAAATGTTGTATTTCTGGCTCTAACATAGTACCAAACACATGATAAGCATTCAGTAAATATTCACTATTTCCCTCATCTACTTCTCTTACCTTCCTCTCCTCTGTCTAAACCCAACTATCCTTTAGGGTCCAGCTCAATTTTTCTCCAGGAAATGTCCCCAAGTGGGAGAATTGGAAGGGATCCATGTAATTTCCACTTAGAAACTACCTACCCTTAACTCCCATAGCCACCCCTCCAAGGGCAGTGTAAGGAAGACTTGTGTTTTTCCTTACTATTCACAGACACTTCTGTGACCAGACATTTGTAGTTCCCCCCCACCCCACCCAATTCTCTGACACCAGCTGAATGTCATTCAATTCAGTTCTGACATTACCTGGAGTTAGCATCAGACCCCACAGGTTAAAGACTCAGTCCCACAAGATTGCCCCACTTCAGATGCAAATCAAAAGTCCCACTTTGTCACGTATACTTCTGTAAATCAGAGTTCCCACAACCCCCTCCTCATGTTCAATAATTTGCTAGAACGGCTTCCAGAACTCAGGGAAATACATTTACTGTTTTTAAAAATATATAATAAAGGATATGTATAAACAGCTAGTTGAAGGGATACATAGGGCAAAATCTGGGTTCTGAGTGCAGGAGCTTCTGTCCCCGTGGAGTTGTGGTGCACCACCCTTCCAGCACATGGGTGTGTTCACCAACCTGGAAGCTTTTCCAAAAAACAGAGTTCATCATATAGGCATTATCGATTGTTAACTCACTCTCTCCCCTCTCCCCTCTCCTCTCACCCCTGCCCAAAGGATGGAAGGCTGGGCTGCAAGTTCCAAGCTTGTAACCGAGGCTTGGTCTTTCTGGTGACCAGCCCCATCCTGAAGCTATTCAGGAGCCCACAAAGAGTTACCACATTAGGACAAAAAGTACTGCAATCACACAGGAAATTCCAAGGGATTTAGGAGCTCTGTATCAGAAACAAGGGTCAAAGACCAAATATTAGAACAAAAGGTACCCCTTAGCACCTTTATTGCTTAGGAAATTACAAAGGTTTTAAGAATTCTGGTCAGGAGCTGGTTATCATAATATCACAATATCATAGACAGCTTTGCTGTCTGCAGCCTGAGAGAACAGTTCACACAACACTAGTCTTGTCTGCACAGGCTAGTATAATGCTAGTATAATGCTAGTATAGTGAAGAAAGAATGGAACTTGATATCATCGATGTGGAGCTTGCCCACCCATCTGTCTCTGAAGACCCCTGAGATCTGTCTACTTCCCTGTGAAAGAGACATAATGCATCTATTCACTCATTCACTTATTCAGCAAGGGAGAAGGTATAGCAGATTGGAACTCTATGCTCTTGGACCAGTTACTTCATCTCTCCGAGACCCATTTTTCTCATCTCTAAAATGGGTTCATGACAGTACCTATCCCATAGGGTTGTCTTGGAAACAAAATGAAAATTCTTGAAAGGGGCTTAGCACAGGATTTAGTACATAACAAACAATAAATGTTAGCTGATATTATAGCTTGAGCCCTCAGCTGGGCACTGGCAGAAACATGACACTGAATTAAACATATAGGCTAGTAGAGAAGAGAAGAAAGCAGATCATCACTGGATAATGAAGTGTGATCAGTTCTACTAGAGACAGACAAGCAAGAGGTAAAGGTGAAAGGTTCTAGGTTCTCTAAACACCCTAGTTTTCCCTTACATATTTTTCTGTGTATAGGGAGGGTAACATGGGGGTGGGGGCTATTCTCCAATAACGTAAGTTCTTCCTTTCCTGTGCAGAGATACTATGAGGAAGTGACTATCTGGCTTCAGTGTGGTAGTAGTGGAAGGTGCTCCAAGAATCCCCTGTACCTAAACTAATCTCTCATTCTTCTCCCAGAAGGTTCATATAGCTGGGGGAGTGGGGATGAGGGGAAGGAGAGGTATTCAAACATAAGAAGTATGTGAGATGTGCTGTTTGTGTGATTCTTGTGTTTTCCATTTTATTATTACTTAGTGTATGGTGAAGCTTCCTTTGAAACGAAGGCTGATTTATCCGGGCCAGGGGACCCCAGGGGAGGTTGATGTTTACAGCTGGACAGAATATTCAGAGAAAACAATACCCCCTCTTTACCTGGGCATGTGGCAGAGACTGTGGAAATCAGTAAGGGGAGAGGCAAAGGGGAGGCTGTAGCTCCTCACTCCAGGTTCTCTGGAGCTTTGGCTGTCGTGTTCCTGGGCCCCTCCAGCTGGCTGCCATCCTACTGTGCTGTTGATTGAGGAGGTTTAAATGTCAGAGCCTTTCTCCATAGGATATGGCAAGATTACTCCACAGCCAAGGCCCAGCTCAGCCTTTACCATGCAGGGCTCCTGGTGACTCTCCTGATTTCTGTGTCTGTGACTTGTAGGCAGCTCAGCCTGGAGGAGGGGTTAGGGTTCTGAGTCCTGCAGTACTTAGGGCAGGGAGTATGAGAGAAGCACTCGGTATTGACTGCCTTCCTGCATCCCACATCATCCCATCTGACCCTCCAACAAGCCTGTCAGGATGGCATTATTACCCTATTTTACAGAGGAAGAGAACGAAGTTCAGGTTAAGGGCCTTGCATGTGACATTTGCCATCATGAAGCATCAAAGATAACAATTCTTTGCTCAAATACACTAATGACTGCGATACTCAAAGTAAAACCTGAAGTCCTCACAATAGCCTCCAAAATTCTGCCCAGTGCCTTTCCTCTCTGACCACCTCTGTCCTGCTCACTCAGCTCCAGCCACAGTGGCCTCTTTGCTATTTACTCTAGAATATGACAGGCACATTCCCATGTTCCCACCTTAGGGTCTTCACTCTAGCTGTTTGTTCTGCCCAGAACATTCTCTCCTCCTCACTTCCAAGTCTGTGCTTAAATCTCACCTTCTCAATAAGGCTTACGTAGACAACATTTTAAATCCTGCAAACTACCTCCCACTGCCACCCACGCCCTTAGTTTCTGTAGTACTTATTTTTCAACATACTATAAGATTTACTTATTTATTATACTTGTTTACCTGTCTTCCCTTCACCAGAATGTAAGCTCTACAAAGGCAAGGGGATTGGTATCCTGTTTTTCGATGTATCTCCAGCCTTTAGAACAGTCGTGGCATTTAGCAGGTTCTCAATAAATATGTTTCCGGTGAATGAACTAATGAACACTAGACTTAAAATTGCGTGCTAGAACCTTCTGAGCTGGTGGGGGATCCTCCGGGTTGTTGGAGGGTGGGAGAGATTCAGAGAGCGGGGGTAGCTGCACGAGACTCACAGGCTTCGGAGGAGGCGCTTGAGAAACTA